TAGAGAGTGGGGAGTTCCACCAGGTGGCTGGCCACTCTCCACTTTGTCCTCTTTGTGTAGTAGCAGGCTGTGTTTCAGAGTTCCACTGAGGTTTCAGGGGGATTGGAGGGTTTGGAGGCAGGGCAGGTCTTGTAGCCTGCAGGGTCCAATGGTTGGGGTGAGGGTAATGGAGCAGCCTACCTTCAGGAAAGGCTCCTGCTGGCTGGCTAGAGAAGTCTAGGCAGGTGGGGAAGGGCCCAGAGTTTTGCTCTGGTATGGAAGGCTTAAATAGTGGGGTGTCCCACTGTGTGGCTGGCTACTAACCTCTTGATCCTCTTTGTGTAATAGCAGGCTGAGCCTCCCAAAGTATTTATTTATTACTGTCACTTTGGAAGCTAGGTCTCTAATATGAATTTCGAGGAGACACATTGTCGACATAGGACTGTGATTAAAACCTGATGTTTTTATGTCATAACCAGGGTTGCCATATAAATGTTTTACAAATAATTTCAGTGACTGGATTCCCAAGGTATATTGTTTTATACATATTTTAAAAATGCTTTTTCTTTGTTCTTCATAGATGTTAAGAACATTGAAAGACTGATTTGATAGTAAGACTTTATTAATGCCTTTGTGAGTGATTTATAGGAGTGTTTTAATGATAAGGTGATGGAGTTCAGATGCTGTGTTCTCATCTTCAACTCCCCACTCCCCAGAACCCAAACCAGTTTTAAAGGAGACACAGAAATCTTTTGGGAATTACATGTGAATATTCTCCAATCTCTAGAAATAAATGGTGTCAGGCTGGAGGAGATTGATCAGTAGGCAAAATGCTTTCAGTGTGATCATGAGGACCTGGGTTCAGATCCCCTGTCCCCATGTAAACATCAGGCACATGGCTGCATTCCTGAAATCCCAGTGCTGGGAGGTAAAGACAGAAGGTATCCTGGGTGCCCTCTGTCCTTTCAGTTTAATTTAGTGAGAGACCCGTCTCATATTTCCTCTCCAAAAGGTAGAGGTGCTGGGGAGATTGCTTGTTGGTAAGAGGCTGCTTGTTCATTTCCCAGCCACCCTGACTCCCAAAATAATGACACAGGAAATCTTAATTAATTGCAATATTGGCCAATGGCTTAAGTGTATTTCTGGCTACCTCTTATATCTTAAATTAACCTATTTCTATTAACATGTGTACTGCCAAATGGCTGTGGCTTATCAATAAGGTTTCGGTGGGCTCCGCAGAGACATCTGTCTCTTGCAGATGGCTTCATAGCTTCTCTCTGACTCTACCTACTCTGTCCTCTTCTTTTGGCTTGGAATTCTCATCTTGCCCTATTCTGCTAAGCCACCAGCTGAAACAGCTTAATTCACTGACCAATAAAAGCAAAACAAAGAAGGAATTCCACACATTTGCTCTTTTCTGTTTAAATAAAAAGGAAGGTTTTAACTTTAACATAGTAAAATTACATATAACAAATGTAGAACTGACTAAATCCACCATAAAACTTGAGAAAGCTTGGAAAGGAATCCTAGACACAAAAGAAAAGAGTTAAGCATAGCTTTTTGGTAGCATTTTCTTGGGTGGGCTCTGTTTGCTAGAAGCAAACAGAAGCAGGATTCCTATAAAAGAGGTTTTCCTGATTCAGCAGTAGCAGAAAAAAAGGTGTGGTTTCAAAATGGTGGTTTCCTGGGCCATGCTGCCACCATGAACTCTGGCTCTTTCAGGAGGCCAAGCAGTTGAATGGAATTTGTAGGCAATATGTCACAAGTTACTTGGTGGCAAAATGGGCCAACTGGTTATCAAAGTCGAGGTGGTGAGTGTGGCTCCCACCTGGCAGTCTCAGAGGCAGTGAACAGACCTCTGCCATGTTGGACTAGACAGAGCCAAAAGGCAAAGCAGCCTTAGTCCTAGCCACGCCACTCTGTATCCTAAAAAGCAGTCCTGGTTAGAAAAGGATTACAGATACACAATAAAGACAAATTCAGATGAAAAAGACCTCTAAATGGGTCACAGTTTGTTTTTAAAAAAATGTATGTAGGCTTGGAAGAGAGAAGAAAAAGATTAGATAGTTATAAAAAGAAGTAAATTTTTTAAAAAAATAAAACAAAGTCTTTAAATAGAGTAAATTTGTAGAAAAAGTAATAGAGTAAGAAAAATAAGCCATGTAAAGATGGAATATACACAGAGGGTCTGGATTTATGTATATTATTATGTTTTCTTTGAATTTTTTGACTGTGAATGAGCTAAGTACAGAGGGACATTTCATTGTATAGGCTGCTATTCTAAACCAACATATATATTTTAAAGGTATCTTGATTTCAAAATTTGAGTCTAAGGATATGTTGCTTTGGAAAAGAGGTTCTTCTTTTATTTCCACATAGGGTGAGAACCTATGAATTCCTTCCAGACTAATGTGGTTTGATGGGCCAAGATCTGCTGAAAGGTCACTGTGAACACCCCCAAAAATTACTTTGCCCAACAGAAAGCATGAAGTAGTTTGGAGAGAACTATGCCCCTTTCTGGTTTTCTCAGACAGGACTTTGTAGCTCAGACTGACCTTGAATTTAAATAGTGGTTTCCTATATATTTTTAAAGCTGGCAAAAGTGGACAAAGAAGTGCTATATGTCAGTGTTCTTGAGAACGCTACATGATTGGTATTCACTCACTGAAGCCACCCATGTCCACATTTTATCTGTAAAGACTTCAGTATGTATTGCCCTGCTTTTAAATACAGTATAGCAAGAAAGAGGTAGTGTTGCCATTTTCAGTGGGTCCTGCCATACTGACAGAAAAAAACTTCTTGGTTGACTTATTTATGGCAATATCTCCTGAAGCAATTGAAAAACTCCTTAAACAATGAGGAATTGTTTCTATATTATGCTTAAAGATATTCAGTTTTGTGCAAATAGCTTAGTTTGTATTCATCAAATATGTGAAAATTATTGATAGCTTTTGAATGTATCTATAACAACATTAAGTACCAAACTCAAAAAAGCATTCAGACTTTCTTTTAAAAATTCATTTTTATTAATTAATGCAAAGTTTCTTAAAAATACAATTTATTTTCATTATAATCATCACCTGTTCCTCTTCCTAAATCCTCCTAGATCCACCCACCTTCTTATTTCCCCTTCAATTTTTTACCCTCTTTTAAAAATTTTTATTCATTTTTTAATAATTCACTGACTCCAATTGTGCTGCCTATAATTCCTGAGTTTGGGGTCATCTACTGGAGTGGGGTTGAGCCATACCCTGAAAGAAAACCAACTTTCCTTTCCCCAGGAGCCACTGAATGATCCTAGCTCCTCTGGAGAGGGAGCTCATGATACTCTTCCTACTCTGGCTAACATCTTGACTGGCTTTGTGTTATTTAGTTCCAATGCAGGCAATCAGAAGTGCTGTGAGTGTGTGAGCACAGTGGTCCCCTCATGTCCAGAAGACACCGCTTTTGTTCCAATCCTCCCTGACTAATCCCAGCCGAATACTAATCTATGAGTTCGCCATACAAGGCATAGCAGAGTAATAAAATCATACACGTAGTCTGTCGTATCCTGCTGTGTCTGTTTGGCACATTTTAAAGATTCGTTTCTAATTTTATTTACTAAAAACTATCTTTTCCATTTTACATAACAATTCCAGTTCCCACTCTCTCCCCTCCTCCCATTCCTTCCACCTTCTCCCATCTCCCATTCCCATCCACTCCTCAGAGAGGGTAAGGCTTCCCATGGGGAGTCAACGAAATCTAGCACACTGCTTTGAGGAAGGTCCAAGGCCCTCCCAACTATATCTAGGCTGAGCAAGGTATCCCTCCAAAAAGAAAGGGTTTCAAAAAGTCAGTACACGCAGTAGGGATAAATCCTGGTCCTACTGTCAGTGGCCCCACAGCCTGCCCCAGCCACTTCAGGCCATTTACAAATCAGGAAAATGATCAGTATTTTAAAAAATCTGTCAAACTGCTTTTTTCTACCACAGATCAAATTACAAATATGCACTTTTTAACCACATATGACTTTATTTTTAATTGCTTTTATATTATTACTATTGATATAATTATTATTATTATTATACCTATGTATGTAATTGCAGTATCTGAGTACATACCATGGCACATGTGTGGGGCTCAGAAAACAACTTGGAGGAGATGATTCTCTACTTCCATTTTTATAGGGGTTCCAGGAATCAAACTCAGGTGACCAGTTATAAAAGGCAAGAACATTTGCTAATGGAGCCATCTCACCAGACGTAGCATATAGACAATTTAAATCTTGATAGAGTACACATCGTTCTAGAAAAAGGAATATACAACCAAGCACCTGATATAATCATACTGAAGTATTCACACTTTGTGATACAGTAATAGCTTATTGAAGAGTGGGTGATACTTATATTAGTGTATTTATAAAACAGCTACTACATATCATTTATTTTTCCCTCTGGTTTTCATTTACAATGGCACCATTTGAATTCATTGCATAAAGTATCTGTCCATGTCCAGACCAGCAACCCCATATTAAGGTGAACAAGAATGGTGATTCCGCCCCTGCTCAACACTCTGGTTTGGTAACAAAGTTCCACACGAGAGTTTGCACAAGAGTGAGGCATTATGTAAATACTGAGCACTACTCTGAGTAGTTACCTGTTTCCGTCCCAGGGTGTGTAGCTCACACAGCCTCAAAACTTCTAGATGACACTTACACTGCCTTCACACATCACGAAAGGATCTCCATTCCTAAATGGCTTAGGACAGGGTGAGGAGTGATCTGGTGCTCATGGGGTGTGGTTTCCCAAATGGTGAGTCTCAATTCTCCATAGCAGCATTGGTTCTTGCTATGAGCTTTTCACATCACCATGGTGATGCCATCAGGATTCCTGTAGCAACCTGCCCTGAGCTATGTTACCTTAAACTCTACATTACCATATGCATTCACGTTGGCTTTGGAAATTCAGAAATTTACACAGACTATAGAACCTCTTGTGTGGTGGTTATTGATCTCATATACTATAGA